CTGTGTATGTGTGTGTGTGTGTGTGTGTGTGTGTGTGTGTGTGTGTGTGTGTGTGTGTGTGTGTGTCGCCAGCACCCAACAGTCGCCACACGCAGCACCCGACCTTCCGTTGTAAAAGTCTACGGTCACCTCAACCCGCGTTTCACTTACTCTGCTCGTGACGTTTCATCTATTCTATTGATTTTAATATTGTGTGTGTGTGTGTGTGTGTGTGTGTGTGTGTGTGTGTGTGTGTGTGTGTCTGTGTGTATGTGTGTGTGTGTGTGTGTGTCTGTGTGTGAGTGTGTTTGTGAATGTGTGTATCATCATAACCACATCATCTACTTGACCCACAGCCTAACCATCAACTAAATGGAGCAACAATTACATCAATTCATTACACAGGACTCATGACCGCTCCCGCTATACCAAAGTGTAATTAAAAAGAGTCAACCAGAGAGCCAGTCGCTGTGGCTCTCTGTCTCGACCAATCAATAGGAAATAAAAGGACAGACCGACAGACTGACTCTTTTATACCCTTGTGGTGGTGAAGGTTGCCAGAGTCGTCAGATTTTTTTGGTAAAGTCGATTTTTGGTTTTGTTTATTTTTTCAGCTGAGTCAGATAGCTCTATGATTGTTTGTTTTGATTCGTTTGTCGATTCGGATTGTGAGACTTTGTTTTGAGGAGCTGAATTTTGTTTGTTGTTGTTGTTGTTGCTGTTGTTGTTTTGTGTGTCGTAAGTAAATGTTAGGAGGAAGAGGAGTAGGAAGAGGAAGAGGAGGAGGAGCAGGAGGAGGAGGAGCAGGAGGAGGAGGAGCAGGAGGAGGAGGAGGAGGAGGACGAAATTGGTAGTCGAGGGAAAGAATTTAACCAATGAAGATCTGCCCCAGAAAGCTCCAGATCCCACCAACAGTTTATTGCTCAAGGTGCTACTCGAAAACCTCAGACCTCGGTATACCCCCAGAGGTCAAGGTGCTACTCGAAGACCTCAGACCACACTCCTATTCCCCAACTGTATCCGTACTAATCCATACTAATCAGGACTTCTACACCCAATCTCAAAGATTAATCTTACTAATCTCAGTATTTATGTAATTCAAGAGACATACATCTAATCTCAACACTAATCTAATCTCATTATCTAATTCCTAATCCCTGTATCCAATCTCTCGTCCCCCGATGGTTCCCAGTCCCAATATATCCTGGCAGGGGATAGGATTACGTGGGTTCGAACGACGGGCTTCAATTATCGAGAAATTTGCCTCTCCGTAACCATACCTACCTGACTACCTACCTACCAACCTACTTACCTACCTACCTACCTACCTACCTACCAACCAACCTACCTGACTACCTACCCACCAACCTACCAACCCACCAACCTACCAACCTACCTACCTACCAACCAACCTACCTACCTACCCACCAACCTACCAACCTACTTACCTACCTACCTACCTACCGCCTCATCAAAACACAGGGAGAACTTAATGGAATACGCACACACACACACACACACACACACACACACACACACACAGGAAGTCCAGTCTCTCCCTCTCTGTATCTCGCCTTGTTTATGTGTGTGTGTGTGTGTGTGTGTGTGTGTATGCTAACAGATACACACACACACACACAGACAATATTGACCAGTGAAGGTAAACCAACTGTACCTGTCCTCCCTGATTGTATGTGGGAGGGCACAGTCGGGTTGAAAGGGGATTAGGGAGTGTTGGAGGGGATTATGGAGTGTTTGGGGGGATTAGGGAATGTTGGAGGGGGTTCGGGAGTGTTGGAGGGGATTAGGGAGTGTTGGAGGGGATTATGGAGTGTTGGAGGATTAGGGAGTGTTGGAGGGATTATGGAGTGTTTGGAGGATTAGGGAGTGTTGGAGGGATTATAGAGTGTTTGGAGGGATTAGGTGTTGGTGGGGATTATGGAGTGTTTGGAGGGGATTAGGGAGTGTTGGAGGGGGTTAGGGAGTGTTGGAGGGGGTTAGGGAGTGTTGGAGGGGGTTAGGGAGTGTTGGAGGGGGTTAGGGAGTGTTGGAGGGGGTTAGGGAGTGTTGGAGGGGATTATGGAGTGTTGGAGGGGATTAGGGGTGTTGGAGAGGATTAGTGTCTGTATGTATGTATTGTTACGCCGTCTCTTAATTTACTTTAAAATCCAGGTTCTAGACGTAACCAAACAAAAAAGTGAAGTAAATTAAAAGAGAATAAAAATAAATAAAGTAAACCTTTAAGAATTTAATTAATTAAATATTAACACAATAAAGAGCCTCGTAGGCTGTCACAACAAATTGATTCACCATCGAAACTTTTAAGACACAAATGATACTAAACAATGAAACATCAAAAGAATAAAAATAAAGCATTGGACAACGTTAACACTGCATAAACATATAAAAACTAACACTGAAATTAACTAACGTGAAACAACACTGAATTACTTGAATACAACTAAGCAAATACTGATGGACACAAACAGAGACATAAATAGGTACTCACATAGATATACCACATTGGTGACGACAGGAACAACACAAATAAATTAGGTATAAGTAACAAGTGACACTCAAAGAATGTGTACTGTATGACAGGAGGACTGAACTAACTCAAGTCAGTTGGTGGGTCCTATATATAAGGTCGGCTCCCGCCACGCGACCCGCCGGTGGGTCGTTTAACGATGCAGATGGTCGTTAGAGAACAAAGAATGCTTGTTACAATACAAAATAAAGAAATAAGATGGACCTGAACAAATAATGACAGTTAAAACCTTAACAGCACAGGGTAAGGTGACTAGAATATATAATAGTAAATTTAACACATCATTACAGGAATAATATGGAACATGGGAGCTGTTATATATAAAAAATAGAAAAATACGACACGGTCGTAACAGTATGTATGTATGTGTGTATGCATGTGTGTGTGTGTGTGTGTGTGTGTGTGTGTGTGTGTGTGTGTGTGTGTGTGTGTGTGTGTGTGTGTGTGTGTGTGTGTGTGTGTGTGTGTGTGTGTGTGTGTGTACACTCTAGGTTAAGACCCTTGATACTGTCAACACACCTGCTACTTCCCTGGCCCTTCTTCCTCCTCCTCCTTCCTCTTCCTCCTCCTCCTCCTCCTCCTCCTCTTCTTCTTCCTCCTCCTCCTCCTCCTCTTCTTCTTCTTCCTCCTCCTCCTTCTCCTCTTCCTCCTCCTCCTCCTCCTCCTCCTCTTCTTCTTCTTCCTCCTCCTCCTTCTTCTTCTTTCTTCCCATTTATATCCTGCTATTGTGGTGGTGGTGATTGTTGTGGTGGTGGTGATTGTTGTGGTGGTAATAGTGGTGATGCTTGAGGCGTTATCCTATTCCTGCTGTAATTCTCGTAGGTAAGTCAAGGAGCAGAGGGTATTAAACCTCCACCAATTACATCCCTGCGTGACTACCAAAGACAAAATCATTTGATGGGGCCGCTGCTCTCGTGTACAAATATGAAGCTTCGCCTTTCACCACGACTACCAGCTCTCCTGACTAATGATTTTTCACCTTGGTAGTCACCCAGAGATATAATTGGCTGTACTGAATTACCCCCTTGACTTATCTACTTTACTGCTGGTTCTGTTATTTTGCTGATGCTTGGTTCCTTCTGCTGTTAGCCTCTGCTTGTGAAACATTAACACTTGTTTTTATGCTAAATATCTTGAAAATTTATCATGTTGACACTTTGGTGGGAGGAGTTGAGGGAGAGGGTTAGTGTTTTGTTCTTTGGCATACATACATACATACATACATACATACATACATACATACATACATACATACATACTGTACATACATAAATAATGGATGCCCCTCGTGTAACGAGGATGGCCGGCCCAAGGGCCACCTAGGCGTGAATTTATTTAAGGTGTAAAAGCTGTCACCAACATAACAACCACACCCTAAGTTAACGAGCTGCATGACCCAGTGTCAAGGAATAGTCCGAGAAGACCGGACAACTCGCCAACTGCACTGGCTAACCATTACCCCGAACACGATCCGCAAATCGATTAACATCCAGGTTCCCAATTAGTGCTGGGTAGACAGGCACATACATACATACATTCATACATACATACATACATACGCTCAGACACAGATATTCACATACTAAGAGATATACAATAGATGTATAGAATACGTATACACAGAGAAGGCGGAGTAACTAAAATATTTCCCACACAGGGAAACTTGAAGTTCATTCTCGCGTTATTGAGAATTCCTGAAACCTCTCATATTGGTGGTGAGGAGGAGAGGGTAAGAGGAGGTAGGGGGCAGGAGGAAGAGGGGGGAGGGAGGTGGAGACAGGGGCGGGGGGTAGGGGAAGGCAGGAAGGGAAGGTGGAGGGGGAAGGAAGAGGACTGGAGAAGTATTGGAAAGAGGGAAAGAGGAGTGAGGAAAAGAGTCATGGAGAGAGAGAAAGAGGAGGGAAGGATGAAGAAACAAGGAAGGGAGGATAGGGATAGGGAGAGAAGAGAGAAGAAGAGGAAGGAAAAGTCGAAAGTAAACTGTAATCAGATTATCCTCTCAGTTACTGGTATAGAAGCACCAATACACTGTTACTTCAGAGCCGTGTGTGTGTGTGTGTGTGTGTGTGTGTGTGTGTGTGTGTGTGTGTGTGTGTCAGCCTCGACCCAGACACTATCACCTGGGTCTCTCACTGCTCCTGCCTGACACAAACTCACTCATACTTATCAGTGTCAGCACCACCAAGTCCTGATACAGTTAAACAGTTGTCAGTCAGGAATAATATTACACTGAACATATACAGTATATATATATATGAGTGAAATAACTTAGTGTACAGTAAGTTTCAGTGTTTGTGCTGTGCTGGGTGGTCGTCATTATGTACAAGTTACCCCTGTTATGACTTTTTTTATATAGAAAACGTAATGTATTAAAGTTGTCGTTTCCCTAACACTCTCTATTCCTCACTGTAACACATTAATGCATCTAACAATATTTTTCTGTTTTACTAATTTGTCTATTTTCTTATTTCAGGAAAGTTTCGCAAAGTTACATCGAAGTAGAGTGACCTGTGTTGGTTGACGACCTCCACGCCTCGCCTGTCGAACACACTCTCACCAGCACTATACAGACCCATAACTAGTGGCATTTATCTCCCTATTTACCACGTAGATTAACTGTATTAACATAATCTAAGCTGTATATAATGAGTTCAGTGATCGGATGTGTGTGCACGTATTAAACTGGCATTAATCTGGCGAAATAAAAACACAGATGCAATCACTTACGCTTAAATAAACAAATAATTAACAGTTTAAGTATATTGTAAGTAGCTTAAGTACATCATAAGTAACAGTTTAAATATATATATATATAAATATTATTAGTTGTGAAATATTACTGATAAAGGGATTTATTTATTAAGTTATAACACCAAGATAAAAGTGAACAAAGTATTTAATTACACAGAAAAAATATTTAACAACAACAAAACGAAAAACTCAGAAAAATAATAAAAAACAAGAACGAAGTGAAGTGGAAATATATCCCCTTCCTCTGTTTTTTTTTCTCAAGAATATCTGATACAGAGAATAGATTAATATTATAAAGAACAAAGACGTAAAATAATGAAACAAATGACGACGCAGAAAACCTAACCTAACCTCGGCCAAACACAACAAGCGGGAGAAGAGAGATCGAACCCTTTAACGGAAACTAAACTATACATCCCAGAGGCCCTTTAAATAAAACTCTATGAAAAGAAACAAAGAGAAAGAGGGGCACAAAGGAAGAGCAAAGGAGGAGGAAGAGGAAGAAGAAGGAAAAGGAGGAAAGAGGACGGATAGATGTAGGAAAGGTGGAGGAGGAGGAGGAGGAGGAGGAGGAGGAGGAGGAGGTGGGGTGAAGGAAGGTGAAAAGTCGACTCCCAGTACCATGAAGGAATCCAAATTAGTGATCCTAGGAGCTGGTGGTGTAGGCAAGACCTCACTCGTGTTACAGTTCTTACAAGGCTTCTTCTCTACTGCCTATAAGCCTACCGTCGAAGATTGTTACAGCCATACCCTACAGCTGCCCAGTGAGTACCCTACCTGCCTTTCTTTGACGTAGATAGTCATTAAGTTAAACAGTCATAGGTGTTTATATTGAGTCAGTATACACGTAGACAGTGAAGGTATGTAAACAATGGTTAGTTGGTGAGAAGTATGGAGATTTAAATGAGGTTTTTTGTGTTTATTTGTATTTATCAGGTGTGTGGGGAGGTGTGTGTGTGTGTGTGTGTGTGTGTGTGTGTGTGTGTGTGTGTGTGTGTGTGTGTGTGTTTGTTCTCTTCCCAATAAAACACAATCGCGTGTCATATTTGGTCCGATGGTTTAAATATGCGCTAGAGCTGTGTCCAACTCGCCCCAACTCATGCTTTTATTTTTGTATTTTTTTTAAACATTTCGAACAACATTTAAATTTAAAAAAGTCAAAAGGTCAGGAACATCCACACACACACACACACACACACACACACACACACACACACACAGCACCATCCCATCCATTGTTAAAATAATAAACACCTCCTAATTTATGTACTGTACAGCCCTGTAAATATATTGAACGCATATCGTTATGTCTAAATCTCATGTAAGTTTGCATATTTTCAACCACCGGCTGCAACTCTATTAATAAACCGTTTATTATTATTATTTACAAACACACACACACACACACACACACACACACACACACACACACATACGCGCGCGCACACACACGCGCGCGCACACACACACGCCCGTTGCATTTCTTCCTATCTATCAATATCGCAGAGGTGAATGCTCAAGATTCGTCTCATAAATAGGTACTGTTTTTCTTCATAAATTTATACATTTGAACATCCAGTAAAACCAAACCTAACCTAACCAAACCTACCTTAAAAAAACCCATCACAGACAGACTTAGGCAAAGTCGGAATTTCTGCTATTTCCCTGATGTTGTAGTGGACACAGAGGTCACAGAGGTCACAGAGGTCAGAGGTCCCGAAATATCACATAATGTTTTATCCATTAGTGTTGTGACCCGATTATAGGTGACTGTCTGGTTTGTTGATTTTGTTGGAGGTAGATATGGTGGTTGATCTCTCTCTCTCTCTCTCATATATCCCGGCATGGTAGGATAAATGGTTCAGTTATGGTAATAAGTAATCTGGCCCCAATTTAATACCGCCGACGTGAAATAACTTACGTGAAAATTGGAGGAAATTCTGAGCGCCAATTTAAGGTTGTGGGGAGGAGAGGGGGAAGGAGGGAGAGACGGGAGTTGGGTGGGGGAGGAGTGGAAGAAGGGAGTGGGGGTGGGGGGGGGTGGGGGAAGAAGGGAGTGGGGGTGGGGGGGGAGGGAGAGACGGGAGTTGGGTGGGGGAGGAGTGGAAGAAGGGAGTGGGGGTGGGGGGGGGGAGGCTTCCATATCATGGTTGTATGGGGTGAAGTTAGTGATGGGTCTTATGTAATAAACTAGGTGTGTTTTAATGGCCATACAGGTTGAAGTGTATCAACTCTGTCTGTCTGTCTGTCTGTCTATCTGTCTGTCTGCCTGTCTCTTCCAATCATCCTTCCCTCACTCCCTTATCCATACTTACCTACTTCCTTCCTCCCTCCCTTTCTTTTCTCTCTCTCTCTCCCTTCCAACCCTCCTTCCTTCACTCCCTCTACCCCCCCTCCACACACAGGTAGGCTACAGCAGGTGTCAGGTAGGTTCGGCTGGTGTCAGGTATAAGGTGACAAGCAATACATTAGTGAGGCTCTTCACCTTAACCCTCGCTGTTTCCCCCTTCAGTCTTGACACCCAGCCAGGCTATCTTCCTTTCGCCTTCCCTCCCCCTCCCTTCACTTCCCCCACACACACACACACACACACACACACACACATACACGTTGACGAAAAAAAAAGAAAACATATGGGAACTTTTTGAGAAACTTAAACCAGATTCCCAGAGACAAGTATCAACACTCACTCATGTCTGAAGATAAAAACAAGGTGCAGTATATAACAGGTAAGGTTAGGTTAGGTTTAGTTAGGTTAGGTTTGGTTTGGTTATTTTAATCTAAGACACAAAATGCATTACAATATAACATCCAGACGTTACATTACCTGGCTGTCCCCTCACCAGGTGTTGCCAGGTACAATTAACACTAAAAACTGTGGGTAGATGAGCCGCTAAATATTAATAACACTACCGGGAGTATTTAAACACTTTGGCCTCAACTCTCCACGACCATGCTGCTGCTGTTAGTATTATCGGAAACATCGTTCTTGTAAGTGGATTAATGGTCAGGAAGCCGGATTCAAGGGATGATTTCTCGCTCCTGTCAACGGTGGGAGAGTAAGTGTCGGGGAAGCGGTGGGGATTTACCCATTAATGGCGCTGGCTGGCCGGAGTTTAGGTGGAGAAAGCAGGTAATGGTGTTTGGTTGACCTAATTTACAGTTAAAAGCTTCACCTTAATCGGATTTCGCGTCAGGTGTGTTGTGATGACCGTGTGATTACTTACTTACCTCGGCAGCTGGTGGACGCGGACAATATTACGCTGGACAATATTATGCTGGACAATATTACCCTGGACAATATTATCCTGGACATTATCTGTCTGGACAGTATGACTCTGGACATTATCACACAGAACAGGAATCCACCCAATAATAATCCAACCAGGTAATGTCTCACTGGACAAAATCCCCAATGGATAATTCCTCAGCTAAAAATACCTCATCCGATTATGCCTCGCTCGACAACAGCTCACTATCCCGAGTCATCTAATTAAAGAGTGAAAAATTTTAAGTCAAACTGCACTCGAGCCAGACGCCAATTCAACATGGGATTTTTTATCGTGTCCTTGAAATTTGACCTTTGACCTTATAATCATATGACCTCTTGTATCCTGGGGAATATGTACACTATATTTAAGCACTGTTGCTCTTTTTATTTACGAGTTATGTTGTGGATATTCTTACACACTAGATTATGACCCTGACCTATCACCTTTCGTCTCTAAAATCACATCATCTTTAGGGATTGTCCTGGTGAGTATATTCACCAAGATTGAACACAGTAACTCAAGTCATTCCTGAGTTACACTGTAGACACTCACGCACCTCACCTGTACCTCATATTGCAGCTGTATAACACTGACTGCTCAACTCACTCGTCCCTCTGGTGGCGTGAGTAACAATTAGATCCTGACAATATGAAGCAAAAAGATGAACAACAAGTGAAGTGTTTGGCGAGTGTCTTATTTGTGACCAATCTTTTATCAGCCTCTCTTTGTAATTATCTTCGATATTAACCTTCTACCCTTTCATTATACCGAGACAGACAGACAGACAATGCGTTCTTTTATCGCTTGTCTTTGAATATACCCTTAATGCCAGTTGAGTGAGGGAGAGAGACCCTCAGTAGCAATGGCCTAGTTTGGGAGATCCTCTCTCTCTCTCTCTCTCTCTCTCTCTCTCTCTCTCTCTCTCTCTCTCTCTCTCTCTTTAAAGATTTACAACACAGTGAACTAGGTTAGGTTAGGTTAGGTATTATAGTTATACAAGAGGGGGATTGAGCGCTCCATTACACCCCCACCTTTTTTTTCTGAGCCGTAAAATGAATCTTGTGTCTTTCAAGCTGTGAGGACCTTGTGTGTGGCCCGATATATTGATAGTGTTCCTCTACCTACAGCACGGTACAGTACAGGGGTGAACGGTGACTCTTGTAGGGCTTTGGGGCCACCTGAAGATTAACCACCCTAGATTATTTCGCCTCATGATTTAACACTTTACTTTAACCTTAACTTAACGTAATTATTATACTCTAATATTTTCCTCACTTCCATCTCTACTTTCCTCACTTTCTTCTCTACTTCCTCACTTCCATCTCTACTTTCCTCACTTCCTTCTCTACTTCCTCACTTCCATCTCTACTTTCCTCACTTTCTTCTCTACTTCCTTACTTTCTTCTCTACTTTCCTCACTTCCATCTCTACTTTCCTCACTTCCTCTACCCGTATATAGTAACGTTATTATTTACTTTACCAGACACTCACCTTCTACCATCCTGGCGGTATATAAACACAATATGGCCGCGCTTTTTACTTCCTTATGTAGTGAGACATTAAGGGTGATTGTCGCCTGGACGTGAGCTTTGGGGATTGTATTTCTCCTTCGGGCAAAAATCTGAGAAGGAATTTCTATTTTGGAGCCAAGGAGGAATGGCTTCTGGAGAGGGAAAAAAAATGTGTCTTGGTGGGAAGGTGGTATGGCTTTTGGCTGGAAAATGACTGAACTTTGGAGGGAAAATGATTGATTGTTGATAGTGGTCGTGGTTGTGGTTGTGTTTATGGTTGTGATCGCTGTCGTGGTCATGGTTGTAGTCGTGATTTTGGTCGTGGTTGTGGTCGTGGTGGGGGGGGGGGTTAACTGATGTACAACTAAAGCGTTTTCCGATACGTCATCAAAAACGTACCAGACTGTGCTGTCATCACGAGGTCAACCAGAGAGTAGAGAAAGTAGAGTAGAGGAAGTAGAGTAGAGGAAGTA